GGGAAAAACCCAGGAGCCCCGAATAAAAAGGAGGAGTTGACAACAAGTCGACGCAGTCGTCAGCAACAGCCGTCGACCAAAAGGGATAAGCCGAAAGGATCTTCCTCAAGATAGAATCGCCGAAGTTCCCATCGATACATCGATACATCGTAATGTCGTAGGATCAATAACTGTTAAAGGTATTTATCGTCTCGCGAAAGACTGTAAGCTCTCTCCCTGAACGTAGAATGCGAATGTGTTAAATCGGTTAAATCGTAAATGCAACTTTTGCTATGAAATATTAATATTTTGTATAATTAGCTTAATAAACGAAAATTGTTATTGTTTAATTTGTGGTCGGTGCATTCCTCCATACGTGCCATCTCTCGTATCGGATCTAAGCGTCTACAAATGCGACCGCTCGCGCGAAAAAAAAAAAAAAAACGATATTTCCGGCCATTTACGTTTCTGTGTCTGTCCGTAAAAACACAGTGGTGTCAGACCTGACGAATTTGTTATTGCGGTCTTCGCCGACGCAATGTCGAACCTTCGGTTCTGTAGTGCCGAAGCATAGGTGGGCGCTTCGCGCATTGTCACAAAAGGTTAAAAGTGCTCCTATTGCTTTCTAGTATGAGAGGAGAAAAAAGCAAATATAATACATATATATACATTACTGAGTTATTTATTTGAATAAAAGACTTTATATCTGCAACATATATTTCTTATGTTCATATTTGAAATCTTTATACACACATATTTGATTTTATATACGACGAATCTTCATTTCAACAACGGGTAATGAATAATATGAATCTTTCCAACTGCTCCATACTATGCCTTTGCCTCTCAGTTCATTCTTGCCATTCAAATATAATCCGTTTAAATTCGAATAGTGGCATTCGTTATACCACCACGCACCTTCGTACTTTTGGGCGCAATTTGTAGTATTCGATTTATCGTTATCTTTGTCAAATGTACTGAAAAACATGTTCGTGTGATTCCGAGTAAGACTATCACCTGTAATATACAAGAAAATGGCCGTATTAATTATTAAAATTGATTCTCATTGTAATAGCATAAGAATGTGTGATTTGTAGGAGCTACTGAAATTGTTCTTGTGTGGATGCATAAAGTTTTATGTCGTCCATGTACTGTACATGAGATGTGATAGCGTAAACTGTGTTGTTTTTTCGTGTCTGATATTGTAGCCATATTACGTGTTGTTTAACATGTTGGATAATGGGTTCAGGGCTAGGCAGAACCAGAGAGGACTCAAGGAATCTCCTTAAAAAATTCCTCGCCTAATGAATATTTCATTTGTTTGTACGGAAGTGTTACTAACCCTGAGATGCAGTGTTGTTCTCCAGTGCTGCGTAGTGTTTTGGAAGAATGCAATGAGTGCTGGATGTATTTTGTACATGTGTAGAATATGTAGCAGCCAACTGTGTGAAACACTGTCGAATGCTTTTCTGTAGTCTATATATGCCATGTGTATGTTTCTGTGTTGTTTGTGTGCTTGCCGTCGAATGACTGAATCTATGAGTAACTGTTCTTTGCATCCCCTGTAATTTCTATGGCAACTTTTTTGTTGTTCCGTAAAAACGTCGTGTTCTTCAACATGTTTGTATATTTTGTTTGTGATACAGGATGTCAATAATTTGTAGAGTGTTGGAAGACATGTAATTGGTCTGTATTGTGTGGGGTCTGAAGTGTTGTTGTTTTTAGGTTTCATGTAGTTGATGCCCTGAGTTAGAAATTTTGGCATGTCTTGTGGATTGATGACGATGTGTGGTAGATGTTTAGCTAGTTCCTGGTGCAGTGATGTAAACTTTTTGTACCAGAAATTGTGAATGTTGTGTACACCAGGTGTCTTCCAGTTGCGTGTTCTGTTAACAGCATAGCGGATGTGTATGTTTATTTCAGCACAGGGCATAGTTGTCATTTATTTGTGTTTCTATTCTTCTCTGCCAGGCAGGCTTCTGATAGAATTGTGTCTTGTGTGTGTCTGTCTGTGATTGTATTTTCAGTCCATGGTGTGTCGCTACTGTGACTGCCCGAGCCTAAACTAATGTATGAATGTCTGAGAATGTAGAAATTAAATGAATGTAGTTTAGTAGTAAATGAGTGTTTATATAATTTAATGTTTTTCCTACTTTCTTTGACGTGTTGATTTTTGGTATTCGTGGTCTTTGTGTGGGATCTGTACCAGTATATTTAGTTAGTGTTTTTTAAAATATAAGTGAGAGCGTATTAACTAATTCTATGTCTATGTTATCAGTGATAGATGAGGAAATGCCTGTAGTATCATTAGTTGTACTTGTTGTATGTGTGCTATTGTCAATGCTTGTGGCTGGATTATCCTGACAGGTTACGTGATCTTCATTAATAATGTTAAATGTTTCTGTCTGTGATAAGCAGTGGGTCACTTAATGAAGATTTTACTCGTTATTAGCATTTACAATTTTTTATAAAACCCAGCGTACACTAAAACTTAAGTTTTTTTATGGAAATCATGACGTGAGTGAATAAACAGGTGTATGTTGCATATCTTTCTCTGTTAACTTAACTATTTGCATATCTCTCTCACTCCTACCGGGTGCCTGAAATAACGCCATATTTGAAATGCAACGTGCCTAAAACAACGCCATATTTGAAATCATTAAATACACTTTCGTTATTTTATTTTTATTCAAGGAAGTATCGTATTTGTGTTGTGTAATCTAACTCATTCTTAAGGTGATCAATCATCCTTCTTTAGCGAGGAGGGTCTTCCTTTTGTAAGTTCTGTCCTCCCTGAAAAGTGTCCTCCTACATGTCCTCCTTTTTGATATTTGATGACTAATCTGTATATCTCCGTATTAGATCAATGCCGAACCGATCCGTTGCGTGTAATGTGATATGACGTATTTGTATATAACATGACGATTCATCAAGGCTCTGTACAGTGCGACAAGATGCAATTATGAGACGCAAGCTCTTCTCACGGGAGAGCTTGAGAGAGAGAGAGAGAGAGAGCGTGTGCACAAATGGCTCTGTTTACTTCTTATCTAAACACGACATGGCACCTATGCAGGCAGTAGAGTTTATTATAGTATATTATTGTTGCAATAAATAAAATGTTTTTATTTACGATATTTTTTCCTTCAATTTATTAGTGTCCTCCTTTTCATTGCAAAAAAGTTGGCTACGTTATCATTGTGTAAGAGTGATAGTATCCGTAGTTGCCAAAAAGAGCGCTGTAACCTTGGTTACAGCGACTCTATGTAGTATATTCCAGCTGGTTGGGCTTTGTGCATTCTTCCGTAGTGTTGCTATTTCACTTTTGAAGAGTGTATGTATTAATTACATAATGATATATCAAATTTAATTTATTATAATTGCAAAGTATACTTTGAATAATTTTTTAAATTATTAATTATTTCAATAAAGTGTTAAGTAAACTTTAACTTACCAGCTTCACCACTGTAATTCCTTACATGTAATTTATACAAATTTTCTTCGTTCCCAATTCTGAATTCTCCATATTGGGCATATGATGTCGCATTTTCTTTGTCTTTCATATCAATCCTGAGATAATAGTTTCCTTGATTTGTTAAATAATATAATTTTTCATTGCCTGAAATATGCATTCGCGTATTCAGTAAACTTGTTTCACCAGCTAAAATTTGAATATATTATGAATAAACATGTGTAATTAGAATTGATTACCTAACCAAAAGTCTTCGTCCAGTTTTCCGAATCCTTCCGCATATCTTTTCCAATCTTTATAGAAATAGGAAACAGGTTGTTTAAAATCTCCTCTTCTTTGAAACACCTTTAATATATAATTAGTATAATTTAACGTAATAATATCAAATTAGTAAAGTCATTAATAATATTTGTTAACAGATTTTAAACATTTCTATAAAGTATTGCGGTTTTTCTGTTATCAGATTTTTTTAAATATCGTATTCGAGTTGAATATAGTTAACTTAATTGAGTTTCACAGATGTATTTACAATGATAAACAGGACAGATCTTTACCATACACACGGGGTCGACTCTGGTCAAGGTTCGATTACTTTATCTATACTAATATTACAAAGAAGTAATGTTTGTAAGTTTGGATGTAGCGGGTAATCTCAAAAACTACTGATCCAATTTCAAAACTTCTTTCACCAATATTTAGAATGGAACCTCAGGGTGGACATAGGCTGTATATTTTTCCGTTGAACATTCATATAAATTGAAATATATCATCTAGTTTAAGTCTTTTATGTCTAGCAGATGGCGCTACGCGTACGACGAGCTAAGTTTGCTTTTCTCTGAGGATGAACTAAAAGAGATCATCATCTATCTCTATATAAATGAAAATGTAATGTTCATTTGTTCCTACCGATTCCTTTGAAATTTTCACACAACGCTGCATTCGAATACGCACGTGTTTTTATATAATATGCGTGTCGAAATTGACCCCACTGGGGGGATATAGACAGGATTAAGGCTAACCGTAAAGAACTCTGCGTTTATTTATACTACTTTAAATAAACGCGTTTTTTATACGCGTTTATTTAAAGTATACTACTTTAAATATACTACTTTAAATGCGGTACTTTAAATGCTTTAAATATACTACTTTAAGTATACTACTTTAAATATACTACTTTAAATGCGGTTTTTTGCGTTTTGATTGCGTTTTAATAGGGTACGTCAAGAGAATGTACATTAAGAAGGGATTTTTCGAAAAATTCCTCCTCCCACGGGCAAGTGTTATACATTTACAATAGATACATTTTGAGCCTCAACAACGTGTAGCGGGGGTATGCTAGTTTGAACATAAAAAATAGTTTTTTTCGGAAAATACAGTACACTACCGATTATTTGTGCGAAGATAACCATGCAGCATCTTTTTTATACACAATTAGCCAAACACAAAACAATATTTGTTGAAAAAATTTTGTGTAAACAAACGATGGCTTTTATATGAAAAAATCCAGCAAAATACTCGCTTAACTTTCTCGGCAACATTTAAAACTGTGTGTGTGTGTGGCGCCATCCGTTATGATATTTTATTCAAATTTTTTTTTATAGTTTCAATTGTTATAAAATGGCAAAAAGCTTAACTTTAAAAGTAGCAATGGGTTACATAACAATTGTGAATGCTAATAACGAGTAAAAATGCCGTTAATTATGACCTACTCGAGATATAATACACGATTCTTCTTTATCTCGTTATCCTATCGAACTTTAACCACAAACATTTAATAACGTCAATCCTCCTAATACACAAATCTCCACGCAAAATTTCATAAATTTTCGACAAAAAGTACGAAACTCATTAAGCTTCAAACAGGATGAACAAAAATCTCCCCCTACACACTAATATTCCATACACACAGAAAAATTCTAGAATATTGTTGCATTACTCGACGTCTCAAAATGTCATAGGTCCAAATATTTCAAAATGTACGGGGTCATATTTCGTTTACCGATCGTCATATTTTCCCTCTGTTATATAGAACATAGCCGAGAAAGTAAAAATTAAGAAATAAAGCTTCTAATGAACAGTGTCTAAACTATTCCATAGTTTAGACACTGAAATAAGTTTTTTTAATTTTCCGTGCATGTTCTCCACGTTGTTAACCCGGATAATCGGATGTATACTATAATTGGGAAATTAAGCATTTATCGCTATTAGGCAAAGTGATAATAACACAAAAGTTTATTTGTACTCACCGTCCATCCGCCGCCGTCTGTTTTCATATCGCAATACACTTTGAAACAAAAAGGTATTGTTTGATTTTTCATAACTCGTATTTCATAAATGCCAGACGTTTTAATCCCCTGCTTTTTAATATCGGTACAATCCGTCGGTATTTGCCTTATTTCCGGAGGAAATCCTATGACTGACAAATGCATGAAATTAATTTATAAAATTAATTGAATAAATTAGAAAACAGCTTAGAAAACTTACTCTGATGGATGAGTTTGTCTACTTCTTTGAGTTTTGTGAACACGTCGTCACTCACACATGTAGTATTTTCTGTCCAAGAAATCCGAAGCTGGGAGAAAAGGAAAAGAATTCCCCACAACCAAACTGCAGCAGTCATGTTACTTTTTTTGCCTTAAACAATTAGACTTCTTTCGAAATTTCGAGTCAGTTTAGTTCATTCGTTGAATTTAAAATTAAAATTTATTTGACGTTACCTTCCTACGAGACGTGATAATTTATTAATAGGCAAGATGACACTGTAGTGGTGCAAATATAGCTCTATAACAGTACAAAACTAGGAGTGGGCGTGTTTAGTAGAGCTAACATATATAATATGAAAGGATCATGCGTAGTGTAGAAGGCTGTTAGTGCAGAGTGAAGACACCGCAGCAGTGGTAATGTGTATTTTAGTATTTGAGTGGGATTTGATAAGAAAATCTTGTTTACTCTTTACGTTTTTATCAGATAAATATGAAATTCTTTTTATTTTTAATCAATCCGCTTTAATAATTTATCTTTGCATAGTCAAGCGGATGTTGAACGCTTAATAATTAAGTGTTTTGGCGTCACAACGATCTGGGTGAGTGCATCTGTACGAATGCGGCTATCTTTGATCACTAACGGATCAAAGATAGCCGCACTCATATATCAAGTGCATTATTTACGCTTATCAATGCATGAATTGCAGTATTAATCCACTCTAAAACATTTACGAGTAACTAAAACAGATATATGCAAAACGATACTTAAAATATTAGTTAAACTAAATTAAATGCATTTTAAAGTTCGTGAAAAGGAGCAGAATTTAATATAGCTTCACAGTCATTGAAATAAACTTTCTTTTGATAAATCTCTATTAGTTTTAAATATGCTTGTGTCTTTGAAAATTAGTCATATACGTAATATGTAATCACGGTATCTATAATTAAGCGAGGAAAAATACTTTTTGGCAAATAAATTATTTTTTTACTTTAATTAGAAAATATTACATTTCCTGAAAAATTTATAAAAATTAAATTCAAATTAACATAAATTTTGTTTTTTCTTTAAAATAAAGGTAACATAAATAACAAAATTAAGAATGAAGCATTTCAAAGAGTAAAGACATGTTTATTTTCACACAGCTATATTGATACAATTATTTCCTAATACGACGTATTTTCAGCTCAACTTCTGGCAATGAGTAATACGAACCTTCCCAATGGAACCACGCAACTCCATACGTGCCCGAACGTAGGAAATCACTTTTATAAATTCCACTGACGTTGGAATACAGACAAGCGCCAAACCACCATCCAACTTTATACAGATCGGCACAGTTCGGCGGTATGAGATCGTTGTCTTTGTCGTAAGTACTGAACCTCATTCCGTCGTGATAATGCGTAAGAGGATCACCTGTAAATTGTTAGAGTTAAAAATCATTTACTGTATTTTCCTCAGTACTATCCGCGAATTATGTATTTTGAAACATAAGTTGATAGAGATGAGCATGATGGTGTTTTTATATTGCAACTAGCAGATAAACCCGGCGTTGCTTCAGCAAAAAGTAACGATAGCGAAGATTGAGGTTATTATATTACAGCCAATCTTACCCGTTTTCACAGAATGCATTAATTAGGTTCCCCTGTTTCCAGACTAATTAGAAAATTTTTAGATGGGTCTAAAATTATGTTCGATTTAACGCAAAAAACCGCATCTGTGCCTGTAAATCTTGCACGTTGCTTTCTCTTAAACTTCCATTGTTGAAGCTCTAACCCCTCGCTTTCCCCGCGGGGGGGGAAGAAATTTCAAAAAATCCCTTGTTAGTGTGCGTTCTCGTAATGTATACCCTAAAGCCTGATGTACACATGCGGCGCTGCAAGGAAAAAGCGGCAGGATGACGTCACATTTTCTCGCCGCAGAAGTCGATTTTGCGCCGCTTTTCTCGTGCCGCAAAAGATGGTTGAATTTTATCTTTTGCAGCAACCGCTGCCAAGACGCGTTTCTACCAGCCAATAACAGTTCGTCTGGTAGTCACGTGAGAAAATACAATTACGTGGTGTTTTAATGGCGGAAAGTTCGACGCGGTTAACCGTGATAACTAACTTCAGAATAAAGAGGAAAGGATAATAAATTTAACGCAAATTCTACACAAATAATCATATATAATTTAATTCAAAGAAGAAAACAACCGAATTTTACCCATTTTTCTATCGAGGAATAAGCGTATTTTGTACACCAGTTCTTTATCAATCCAAGAAAATATCTCTAATCCAAAATCTTCGTTCGAATCTTCGACAAAATCTTCTGATTAAATAAAGCAAGCCGTACAAAACGAAAATTGTAAACACGTGGATTGCGAAAGTATCGGCATCGTTCGCCATCTTGAATACTGAACGCATGCGCTGAAATGTAAACGGATTGCATCCCGCGCGGCGAATATGTGTTTGCTACACCGCTTTTCCTTGCCGCAGCAAGGAATTTATCCTACGATAGATGGAGGGCGTATACACTCGCGCCATCTATCGTAGTATAAATGTACTATGCCAGAAATCTTCACGGGAATGTATTAAACAACTTCCTAAAGTTTCATGGAAATCGGGTAAATGGTGTAGTAATGCGTGAAGGACAGACGGACAGACACACATACATTCATTTTTATATATATAGATTAGAAAACTCTGGAATATGCAGCAACGCGTGCTCCATATTCGCGGTTAGGCAGGTTATGCAAAGGTTTTATTTTCGTAATAAGCAATTTTTTGGAATTATAAGCACGAAATTACAGTATTAGTATTATCTAACTTAAAGTGAGAAAGTCTTATTAAAATTTAACTTAAATCAACTTACATGCATCTCCGTTACACCCGGATACACGTAATTGATACGACTCCTCATTGTTGCCGATTTCGAATTTCTTATATTGAGCGTAATGATGGTCTCCATTTTTATCTTTCATGTCGTATCTGAGTACATATTCTCCGTGATGAGTTAGGGAATGAAGCTTGTCGTTTCCTAGTAATATATTTTCTTAATTACTTCTAAATTTCCATGCGAAAACAATGCTAAACATATACGGTATAAAAGATAATTACCGAGCCAGAATTCATTATCTAATTGACCAAATCCTTCGGAAAAACTTCTCCAATTTCTGTAGAAATAATCTTTCGGATTATTGAAATTTCCTCTTCTGTGAAATACCTACATATTTTTAAATTAGAATTTAATCGAGACTTTATAGAAATTAATTAAAATTAATATTGTTTATCCAACACAATGTAGTGCAACTTAACGATCACTTGGTTTTCTTTCACCTTTACTCTAGTTGATACGCGCTTATATCTTGCACTACACTGTGTTGGATGAACAATAGAAATAGAACACAACACGGTTTAAAGTTGGTAAATAAAATTAATACTGTATTTTATATAAAGTTATTATTAGAGAATAGAAATAAAAACTAACTGTCCATCCTCCTCCATCAGTTTCCATATCACAATACACTGGAAAGCTAAAAGGTTCCTTTGTCCTGTTACGAGGCCAAATTTCGTATATTCCAGATTGATTAACTCCATTTTTGAATATATCCGTACAATCAATAGGATTTTCTACGGAATATTCGGACTTCTGCTCTGGGAGCATTTCTAAAACTAATCATTGAAATAATTAGTTTTAATTTAATAATTTAATTTCAAAAATATATTTTATAAAAATAAAAAGTAAAGACTTACGTTGATGAACGATATTATCGATTTCTCTAAGTTTTGAAGGAAAAATGGAATAACTTTGAGATAATTCATTGCAGAAAATCTGCTTGGAATAAGTAAGGAATGATATAACGTAGAAGATAAATGACAGTTGCATCTTTCACTAACGACCGAGTGAGATATGAAGTGAAGGAATAAGTAAAACTTGTTGACTTTTATAGTGAAAAAATCAGGGAAATTCATATGCTGGATGTAATAATTGCTTCCGAGAAATGGCTTGGAGCCAACAGTTAACCTTCGTGATGGTCACTTACATCAGTAGGCGGCTTATTAAAATTTTTACTAAATAAAGTAGAAAAATTCGCCATTTTTTAAGGTAGATATTTTAAAATTTCTTAAATTTTAATAATTATTACTATATAGCCTTAAAAATTTGAGGTAATAAAATAGAGTTTTTGTTATTAATTAGGTTTTGTTTAATAATTGTTTTCGTGACAACATACAGGTAAATCTATTAATGATTTTTATATCATAAATACGATGACGAGTGTCACGATTTTAGAATTATTTTTTAAAATATTCTTTCTAACAGGAAAAAATTTAAATAAAACTAATTACAGTCAACGGTTCAACGGTTTCCATATTTAATTATGTTTTATAAATGATTAATATGTTCCAATAATATAATTTTTTACAATATTTTTACAATATATTAATTTATGATGATTACTATTCTGCAACAAATACAGTCGACCTCCCCTTTAACACTGTTGATTATTCCATTTTATATAAATTCCATGTTGTACGAGTCACTTAGATTTTACAAATACGTGAACAGTTCACAGCCCGGCACACGTATTTGTAAAATGTAAGTGACTCCTACAAAATGGAATTCATATAAAACGGAATTATCAACTGTGTTATAGGAGGGTCGACTGTANCTAACGGAAATTCCTTTTGATCCTTCAATTTAAATATTTGTAGTGCCATTTTATAGGTCATCTTACTTCCTCTTCCCTCAATAAAAATAATTTTAGCCCCATCTCTCCCTTATTTCTTGTGACGCCAGGCACTGCCATAGAAAGACTAACAGGATCTTATATTTATGGGTGCCTCAGAAACAATGGTTATAAATTATTCATTGTGTTAAGAGGTGGAGAAGAAAGTTATTATTACTACATTTTATAATTTAACAAATATAATAAGAAATACGTCTCAAAAAAAGATCCTTAATGACTTCAAAGAGGTCCTTTACACCAGTATATATGGCTAGAAGAAGAATTATTCAACTGTTTAGCCTGTGGAATATAATGTTATATAATTGCAATTATGAGAATATTTATGTATTTATTAATTAAAACATTTCTATTTAACATAAATTACAAAAATAAGCATAATATTGTTTATATTTTTCAAAAATTCACTCAACAATTACTCACATCTTTCAGTTTCCTTACCATTTACATAGAATTGTAAGGGAAATAAAAGGGTTGTGTAATCGATAATACGCCGAAATACTTTAAAAATAATTGTTTTTAAGTGTAATTTACAAAAGCACATGATTTCTTTTAAAATTTATTTATATCCTAATATTTTATAGATATAACATTTGATAGTGAATACTTGTTTACAGGAAATGACGTAATTCATAGGTGAAATTGTAAGTCATAGCGAACTCCACGTGTGTCTTAAAGGTCAAGTAGAACTCGTTCTAAAAAATGATATGACGAAAGTTGCGCTTACTGTTGAAATCGTGACAAGAGAATAATAACAAGATACACTGATAAATATGAATGAGATGTAGTTCTCAGCCATATTTATCAGACAGAAATTTAAAACTAATCGACATTTTTTAAGAATTAAAATCTTCAAAACATGAATTCAAAAGTTTGAAAACAACAATGAGTTAGGTAAAAAAAATAAAGGAAAATTTGTAAACAAAACTAGCATACATACCTTTTATTTGTTTTCACTGTTAAGACACTTTACTGTGATGTTATTGACTGTTCTTTTAGGTTACTCATCTATACGGGAAAATTACTGTGATCATACAATACACCAGATATACGCTCCACACATGTTATTAAAGTATTACATGAAGCTTTAAATGCAGGAACTCGTATTGTTTTATAAAACTTAACGTAGTATACCACTTGCAGTTTTGATATAACGAATGTAAGAACAATTATCTCTTCTTTCACACAATCCGCATATTTACATCGATCGAGTTAGAGTGACCTGAATGTTCTCTACAAGCTCGAATTAATTATGAAATACAGTGGTGCCTCGTACAACGTACTTAATCCGTTCCAGGTGCACGTCCGTTAAGTGAAACGTCCGTTATACGAAACGCATTTTCCCATAGAAATACATGTTAAAACATATAATTCGTTCCGCAGCATAAAATAACCGTATTGTACCATAAAAAATGAAAATGGAGCAGACACCAATTATGCCGGGTAGTCAGATGTT